AAAGGAGAGTAAGAGAGAGTACCAGATGTATGTAAAGGAGAGTAACAGAGAGTACCAGATGTATGTAAAGGTGAAATTAGACCTTCTTTTTCCCCCAATGCCGTTTCTTAGGGTTACAGACATACCACGTTTTGGGTCGCCCTCCTGGATGCCTTTTATCAAAGCCTGGTCTGCTTTTTCGTCCCATACCTGGTAAGAATGTTAAGAGGATCCCAGTGCTAATTTCTTTTCATGTTTCATGTGCTTTGCATAGTAGGGTGTTACTTGCTTTCCGATGCACACGTGTCCTTCGTCTCTTTTTGTAGGCTTACCAAGGTTCAGACATTGACGTCTACTCCTTCGGGACGCCCATGAACACGGCCTCCTTGTTTACCATTCTGCTGCACCTGGCAATTGAAATAAGGACCTGGGTCTGTGTTTATCGGATTAACATGGAATTTACGTTTCATTCAGCATTCCGCTCTTGTCTGTGAATCGACTGACAGTATTGTTCATGCTCTAGTTAGCTCTCAAATGTATACAGCAAAAGTGCAGCACTGTTCAAATTACTCATCTAATGTGCCGATCTGGGTCACATTCAGGTGGCATATCGCACGGAAGTAATTTGAAACAGGATCGATTCCGTCGTGCCAGTCATACTTAAGCTATGTATCAACACTAAGCACCGTATACCACGTTTGTCAGGATGCGTAACGAGCATGAAGTGTCTCTCTTTCAGACCGTAGTGCACTGGGTGGTCATGGTAGGCAGTGTGCTGCTCTACTTCATCATCGCCCTGTCCTACAGTGCCCTCTGTATCAACTGCAACCATCCGTCCAACCCCTACTGGATCATGGAGAATCAGATGGCTGATCCAGTCTTCTACCTCGTATGCATTCTCACGACTGTTCTGGCCCTTTTGCCCAGGTAGGATCCCCTTGTGATGCTTTACTCTGCCTGAAAAAGCTGGCAGGAAGGATCTAGAAGGAGCTTCCAGCTCATGTGGGCTTTTAAAATTAGAAAGCAGCCATAACTTCCCGCACCAGGTGACCATGGCTAATAGTAATTTTTAAATTAGTAACAGGGCTGACTTTGTTATTCATGCAAGAGTGCTACTGTGGGAGACTTATTTGATTCTATAATTGCTATTTCACGTTCCGAGGGGTAAATCAATTTATTAAGCAGTTTAATATCGCTGGTAATCTTGCTTGTGCTGCATTTTAAATTTTTCACTATTGTAGGCATTAAGATGGCTCAGTCAATCAGTATGAAAACACGCACGTGTTAATTACAGGCCTCATGTAATTACAATTAACTCTTACTAAACAACGGTAAGTCATATGTAGTGAGAAGCGTTATGTCAGAGTGATTTCACTGATTATGAACTATATTCGTATCTTTGTTCATCAACAATTCAGGCCAAAGTGTCTGTTCACCAGCATCTTATGCCTGTTGTATTGTCTTGTCATCAATGTAGAATTGAACGTCTCCGAGTCCAAATTCGGGGAGACTGCTTATAATTTAAATAGATTATTATAGATTGAGTTCTTGGATGAGCAAAGGTGTCTTTTAATTAGAATAGATTACATTTTTCGATTTCCTAGCAGGTGGTTTTCTCCAAAGTATAAGACTCTTACCCAAGTGTGTCCACCACAAACACGCCTGCGGGGTACCCTCTGGTGCGTAAGGCCGCACACACCGTCAGCAGCAGTGTCACGCTCTGCTCCCGTCCCTAGGTATACTTTCCGTGTGCTGCAGGGCACGCTGGCCTTGTCTCCCTTGGTTCGCGCTCGACAGCTGGACATGCTCTCCCCGCAAGTCAGGGACTCCTTGATCAGAGAATGGAGGAACCAGGAAAGCACTTCTGAAGCTGTGCCTGACCAGGTCCTGTCCTCCCCAGCGGAGCCAGGCAGCCCGACAGAGCCCACAGTGGACAGGGGCCTGACTCTTCACAAGGACGGCAATGAAGATACGGGGAACCCTTTCAGTCCCGGTCACAGGCGATCGATCAGCACCATGACGATCTAGAGGCGGATGTGACACATTGGACCTACTGTATTAGCCCTATACTGGGACTCGAGCAGCTATTAAACGCCACCAGATCAATGGCCACTGTTTAAAGACATGATCCATCTGGGAAAATTACTGTTGGCATGCACATCTGAGCAAAATCAAGTGTTTATTTTTTTACTTTTACTGATATTTTTTAAATATCAAAAATACTTGAAAGAAAAAAAAATTATTTTTTTGTAGTTCCATGTACTTTATATAAATATTTTTTGGAACTCTTCCAGTGTCGTGCAATTTAGAGATCTTCATGTGTTTACTGTCTGACAAAACACATTTTGTCTTTAACAAGTATGTATTTTTATTGTTTTGATTGTGCTTAGTATGTCAAAGGACGATCATTTTCCTGTCGCAGATATCTGACATACAGAAATGTATTGAAGGAATGTTTTACTTCTCTTTACATTACCCTTCTGTCTCCCCTTGTTTGTTTTACCGATTTGGGTAACATCCGAAAACCTGCCTGTTTTTTTGCTGTAGCGATGATATCATTACACTGTGCAGATCATTCAGAGCTGATGAAACACAGATGGCTTTTGGGACATTCTTCCGTTTCTATTTGTCATTCGTCATTAAGGTTTGATTAATGCTCAGGGTCAATAAGAAAATGGCATCTGAATTTTACAATGAAGTATTGCAGGATCTTGAATGTCCAGCTATTCTATATCTGAAAGAAATGGTGACAGACCACCAGAACAAATAAAACGCAAAGAAAAAAACGTGTTTGTGTGATTTAGAACATAAGAACATAAGAACTATACAAACGAGAGGAGGCCATTCGGCCCATCGAGCTCGCTTGGGGAGAACTTAACTAATAGCTCAGAGTTGTTAAAATC